CTCTGAGAAAGCATGCCCTCCCCCATTCTCTTCTGTCCAGAGCTGGGAAGCCTGGTGGCCTTCGACCAGATAGAGTTCTGTCTGATGATGGGGATCGAGGAGCAGAGCTGACAGGGAAGGTGCTCTCCGATTCAGGCGAGGACACCTCCTCTGGGCCCATCAGATACAGAACTCTGGAAAGAGCAGCAGCAGTTCCTGTGGGCTTCTGCCCCGCCTCACTGGGTCTCTGCCTTGTGCTGGGCAGGGTAGGAGTTGCTTGGCTCTGCAGCTGCTTGCGCCAGACCTAGAACAGTTGATGCCCTCTCTGGGTCTTAGTTTGTGTGCCCCTAAAATGGAAACCTTGGCTTAGCTGTATCCATGGGCTCCCAGCACAACTCACCTTGCCTTGGGAGCCTCCAGAGGTCTCCAGCACCCATCCCAGCTAGTTTTGAGGAGTTCAGCCAAGGACTGCTCTGTGTCCAGCAGAGCCTAGAAGACCAGTTACATAAAAGGAAAGCAAACGTGGCTGAGCCTGGAACACTGATGGCCTCTGTGTTCTGCAGAAGCCAGGCCTCTGGGACTCCACAGTAAGTAGCAGGGACACAGGCCCTGTCCTGGGCCCAAGCCTGCCCCTTGTGTCATTCACAGGGCCTGACACTGTGGGCCCTTCCAGCTCCCAGCTGCTCCGTCCTCCCCGTGTGGGGCCCTGGGGCCCTTGCTATCTTTCCCTCTGCCTGAGGCTCTGCCTTCTCACACCATCTGCTTCCCACCAGCCTCACTCTGGACCCCATTCCTCCTGCCTGACCTCACCTGAGTCCCTTCTGGGCCACGCCTGCAGCCTACACCCCTTGTCCCCTTGTCCCATAGCCCTCAGCCATGGTCCTGGGATGGAGTTTCAGGCCTCGCACATTTGTTAGTAGCAGGTGAAGTCATAGGTTGCATCAATGAGCTTTTCTTTCAAGTGGTAGGTGGACATCTGGAGTCCAGTCCAGCTGTGGAGTGTGGAGTCCAGCTGCCTGAAGGGCTGACCTTTGAGTGGACTGTGGCCTTGACTCAATGTGTGATGAAGAGCCTGGTAGAGTGTAAACAGAGCACACAGACCTGAGTGTGCATGCACGTATGAGTGTGTTCTGTTCCGTCCCAGTTTTTGTTGGGATTATACCTAAGGCTTCGTGCTTACCAGACAGGCTCCACTCCTGAGCTGTGGCCTCAGCCCTTTGGACTCTTTTACCTTCTTCCAGTTTTAGGGTAGAACCCAGAGTGCTGAGTATACTAAATGAGAACACTGAGTCACATTAGTGTCTGTATATATACATGCATGTACATGTGTGCATCAGTGCTTATAACATGTCAACTGAACAATGGTGCTGTGTTTAGTGATGGATAACATGAGCATTGCTGGGCTTTGGTGTAGGCATCTCACACGGGCACCAAAGGAAATGGTTCTGAGCCCTGTCATGGCTGCTGCGTGTGGCCATTATCGTGCAGAATGGTTCTAATGATTCTAACGATGGGAAAGGTTTGCAATGCTAAAGACTGTTACAACTTAAGCCAGCAGGACAGAAGCAGCCCAGGATGTGAAATAGAAGAGCTCTGGAGTTGTGAAGGAAATTTATGGTTACTCTTCCTTCTTGAAAGTTCTTTACCCTCCTGTGTTTGTCACACTGTTTGCCTGTTTTTATTTGGTTTGGATCTTTAATTTAATTTGTTTGTAAGGTTGGTTGTGGGTTTTTTTTGTTGTTGTTGTTGTTTGTTTTGAGACAGCCTTAGTGGGTCTAGAACTCACCTATGTAGACCAGGCTAACCTCAAATTCATAGATATCTGCCTGCTTCTGCCTCCTGAGTGCTGGACTCAAATACATGCGCCACCATGCTGAACCTTGTTTGCTTTTGGAAACAGGCTTTTATTTGACTGACCCCCAATATGTAGAATAGAATGACCTTGACGTCTTAATCCTCCTGTATCCCCTGTCTGAATGTGAGGTTTGCAGGAGAGTGCCATCACGCTAACTTAATATGCTACTTCTGCAGTTAAAAAGGACAGGGGCCCCCAGGAAAGTCTGAGCTTGTGCTGGAGGCTTTGCTATACTGGGTTGACTGTACTGTGAAGGCATCTGCAGTCCTTAGTGGATCAGGGGACCCCCCATAGGCTCCACTCTTCCCATGGACAAGCTCCCTGTCTGGCTCCCTGAAGCCCCTTCCTTTCTTTGAAGCCATTGGCTGGCCTGGAGAATACAACACCAGCACTGGATTGAGCCTGATGTGAACTGAACCCTGAACTTTGTGACTGTTCTGACCTCTGTCCCTGCTTAGTCTGGGACCCTGGTTGTGGGCATCAGTGGGCATCAGGGCAGTGAATGTTCTGCCCTTGGATGATCAAGCTTGCCGGACTGGGAGGATAAGCCCTAGCAATGTCCTTGCGGAGGCAGCCATGAGCTGCAGGTCATGAACCCCACGTTCTAGTCCCCAGAAAGTGCAGGATGAAGATGGGACCCGGGTGTTAGATCAACGGACCAAGGGAGTCCGGGTCCTGAACATCACCAGCAAAGGACTCTGCTCATCTCTGAGTGACTGTGAATTGGGGTACAGTGATGACAGCCTGAGGAAATTAATGGGCAGAACCCTTGACACCTGCCAAATGTTTCCCATTTATATCAGGGTATGCCTGTGGCTGCTGAGGTCCCTGTCCCTGCCACCTCAGACCTGCTGACTCCAGATGAGAAAATAGGTTCATAGATGCCACACCACCATCCACAAGTCTCTCTCTCTCTCTCTCTTTCTCTCTCTCTCTCTTTCTCTCTCTCTCTCTTTCTCTCTCTCTCTCTCTCTCTGCCTCCATCTCCCAGGGCACAGCATGGATCCTGGCCTGGCAGGTCTGCTGGGACAACAGGCACCACGCTCCAGACAGCCTTTCATGGTAACCTTCTTCAGAGCCAGCCCAAGTCCTGTGCGGGCCCCTCGGGCAGTGAGACCTCTGAAGAAGAGGCAGCCAAAGAAAACGAACGAGCTTCCTCATCCCAACAGACTCCCAGGGATCTTTGGTGAGGGTGGGATTGAGCCTCATCTGAGGCCCCTTCAGAAAGCAGTGGTCTGCCAATGAATCTAACTAGTGTGTCTGGCAGGGAGGGTGGGATGTGGGCAGAGAAATCAGAAGCCGTGTGTGCCAGATGCCACCTACTGAACACAGTCACACCCTGTGGTGACGGGAGCCACTGAGGACTGTTGAGCTGGGTCATGGCCTGAGCAGGGATCCAGATTAGAACTTGTGATTTCAATGGTTTAGCTTCCTGTTGTCCTCCATTTGTAAATGTGCCTGTTAATGCCACCCACCCTGACACTGGGAGTACCCATGGCAAGTGTAGAGTGGAACCCCTGAATAGACTTGGTACCTTTTTGTCCCTACAGATGATGGCCACGGCTCCCGAGGTAGAGATGTTTGCCGTAGGCATGAGCTCTACGTCAGCTTCCGGGACCTCGGCTGGCTGGTAATGTCTGCTTCTCCTCTCTGAATGCCACCTGAAGAGCCTGGTGTCTCGGGGAGGGGGTGGAGCTACTGTGCCTTTAACTGTGCATTATAGCCGTGAAAACGGAGGCCACCTGAGCCCTCTGCCCAGTAAACTGTCAGCGCTAGAATGGGGAAACTGAGGCTGGGTGGGCGGGGCCTTTGTGCTCTTCCTGCCGCAGCTGCTGCAGGAGGCGTGGGGGCAGCTGTGGAGGACACAGCAGGGGAGGGTGAGGCCTGGGGTCACACCTGCCTGCTGAGGGGAAGAGGGGACCGGGGCGGGGGGGGGGGGGGGCTCACAGCCTCAGGTCACCCTGTGACAGGAGTTGCGCCAATGGTCTTAGAAGGACACGCTGATGTGACTCACCTTTCCCCCACACAGGACTGGGTCATCGCCCCCCAGGGCTACTCAGCCTATTACTGCGAGGGGGAGTGTGCCTTCCCACTGGATTCCTGTATGAATGCCACCAATCATGCAATCTTGCAGTCCTTGGTCAGTACCACAGTGGCTAGCTGGGACCCAGGGGGCGGGGCCAGGTAGTGGGAACAATGTCCACAAGGGGGGCTTTCTCTGCAGACTTAGCTACAGAGTGTCATTCCTGAGCCTCAGTAAGAGTGGGCCTCTGTGCGCAGACACTTGGGCGAACATGCGCTGCCCATGGGTACCCTTGGTCACACTGGAACACACATACAACAGATGGGCACCCCATGGCAGCCTGTGTGAGCTCAGTGTGCCCAATGGACATGTGGCGCTGACCTTTCTAGTGTGCATGTATGCTTATCCGTCATGCCTGTCAGGTGGGCCTCCCTCCCCTTGGGCTCTCTGCTCTTCTGGGCCTTGACTCATTATCCCAGACTGGATTCAGAGTCAGTGTGTAACCAAGGATAACTTTGAACGTCTGCTCCCCTGCCTCCAGCCCAGAGTGATGGGATTATACGTGTGCAGTATTATGCCTAATTCATGTGATGTTGTGGATCAAGTCCAGGGCTTCCTGCGCTAAGCAGGCACACAGCCAACTGAGATCTCCCCAGAGCCCTGCCTCTGCCTCTGTGTTTTTGACCCCATTTTTTCCCTGACTGCTCCTTCAGGGGGTGAGCAGCAATGGAAGCAGGTTCTAGCAGGAGCCACACCGCAGCCTGTATTTGACAGGCGTTGGTGCTTACTGGCTCTGGGGTCTAGACCTTATTCTAGAATGCTTTTCCTGGAATCCTGGTGTCCCATGGTTTTGTGTTTATCTAGCGAGAGGCTGTGCCACGTGATGCTCTGAACTGACAAAGAGCTGTCTGAGCTGATGCTAAGGCATCTTTTCACCGTGGCCACTGGCATTTGCCGGACACCTGGAGCCACTGTCCTGGGAGGAGCAGTCCAGGTGACACTGGGACAGGCAGTCTTTAGTTCCTTGGTATGATGGGTGCACCTTGCCTCCCAGGTCTCGTTTCCTCCCCACTTTGCTCTGCCCTCTGTTTCTCCTGTTGACAATGGCTTGGCCAAAGTAAGCAAGTGCTCATGATCTGCCTGGCGGCAGACGTGACCATCTCTGTCCCCCGGGGAGGCTGTAGTGAGAACGTAAGCAAAGCAGCAGTGAATGAGAGGAGAACCATGTGTAAAGTGGATCACTGATGATAGGGGGAGCCTGGTTTAGGCTTCTGCATCAGGACCATCCAGGGCAGCAATAGAAAGAAGAAAGTCATGCCGGGCAGTGTAGGGGCGCACACCTTTAATCCCAGCACTCAGGAGGCAGAGACAGGAGGATCTCTGTGAGTTTGAGGCCAGTCAGGTCTACATAGCAAGTTCCAGGACAGCCAGGGCTACATAAGGAGTGTGCCTGTCTCAAAAAAGAAAAAATTCAATACCCAGATGGCCCCATCCGTGCTGTGAATCAGTTTGTAGATGTTGTGTGAGTGAAAGGATGCTCTCCACATCACCACTCAGTGAAGCCTAGGGCTGTGGCCAGTGTGGGAAGGAGGAGGTACCTTGTGGTGCCTACCCTCTTCTCTCCAGTGGCCCAGCTCAGGAAAGCCCCCGCTGGAGTTCAGCCATTTCAGCCCCCCCCCCCCATACTCACAACGGACATCTCCCAGTTCTGCCACAAGCATTTGTAGATGGAGAGGTAGGCAGCAGCTACCCCCAGGTGCCAGCCTGGCTGCATGTCACCCTGGAGACCTGTCCTCCTCCATGGCTTCAGTGAGACTGCCACTGCATACCAGGCCAGTCAGCAGGGCTGCAGTGCAGAGGCTATGGGAAGAGGGTGTTCATCGGATTGCCTTATGTAGCCCCTGTTTCCAGGACCTGGAAAGCCTGTGGAGCTTGGGGTGACTGAACACACACACGCATACACGGAGGTGGTAGATTTTTGTCCCCTCAGCCTCCCCTCTGGTGGGAACCTTGAGAAGAATCCAGTTTGAAGTCCAGGATAAGCATGTTTAGAGGCTGAAAGACTATGACTCACTGAGACTTTCAGGAAGGCAAAACTGCTTTAGCGATGGGTGTACGGATTAACACCACTTTCAAGGCCAGTGGCCGTGGGAACCCCATTGCAGTCTCTGTGCATCACCTACAAAGACAGTCTTTGTTCAGAGTTCAGAGGCTGAGCCACATCAAGTGGGACAGAGTTCAAGAGCTTGTGCGTTCTAACTCAGTCTGCAGTCTCTCTCTCTCTCTCTCTCTCTCTCTCTCTCTCTCTCTCTCACACACACACACACACACACACACACACACACACACACGTGCGCGCATGCAGCTCAACACCTGTTGGGGATGTAGTAACGCGCAGAGCAGTGTGAGGCAGTGAAGGTCCAGAAGAGGCACCTCAGAGGGTACACAGCCATGGGCACCTAGTGCTGGGGACCAACAGAGTCGTCTGTGTCTGGCAGAGCAGATATGGCAGTGGACCTTGGGAAGGGAGCAAGTGAGAGCCAGGGCTTTGCTGGTCAGGTTATTGAGGAGGGCACCAGGTTCATGCCCTTGCCTGCGTCCCCTCCCTCCCTGCCAGGTACACCTGATGAAACCAGATGTCGTCCCCAAGGCCTGCTGCGCACCCACCAAACTGAGTGCCACCTCCGTGCTTTACTACGACAGCAGCAACAACGTCATCCTGCGCAAGCACCGCAACATGGTGGTCAAGGCCTGCGGCTGCCACTGACACCCTGCTCCACAGCCTGCTTCTGCTACCTTACCCGTCTGGTCTGGCCCCCTTCCAGAGGCAGGAAACCCTCCTATGCTATCGTAGCTCAGATGGGGGCAACAGGAGGCCCTGACTTCCCCTGGCCACTTCCTGCTAAAATTTTGGTTCTTTCCCAGCCCCTCTGTTCCCTCCTTGGGGTTTGTGGCCTATTGCTTGCCCCCTTCTGCTCCCCCAAGCACAGACTGAATGCACATGGCATCCTAGAGCTGTGCCGACTGAGGGGTCTGGGGTCAGCACTGAAGACCCACATGAGAGGAAGACCGGTCCTTGGCCATCTCCAGCCCAGAATGGTCAATCCTGGATGGTCTAAGGCGGCGCTGGAGTGTGAAACTGGCTGATCTGGGCTCTGCACCATTCACTGCGGCAGGGGGCGGGGGCGTGTCTAGATATAACAGACACGCCCACTTAGACCAGTGCATTGCTGTCCTGTGCTGTGGAGTTAGCTTGTTAGAAATAGACTAGTCAGAGGCAGCTGGGGTAGTGCACACCATTAATCCCAGCACTAGGGAGACAGAGGATCTCTGTGAGTTCAAGGCCACACAGGGGAATCCTGTCTCAAAAAAGAGAAGACAAAAGAACCACCTGGCTGGGACCAGTGAAAGGGACATTTTATGACCTGTGTCCTGGACCTGCTCTTCTGCCCGGGAGCAAAGGACCCTGGGAACTTCCAGTTCCCTCTACCACTGCTACCATGCTGACCAGTTGGGGGCTGGACACTGAGACAGAACGAATTCTCAGAAACGAGAACACCCTGAAGTGACTGGTGCAGGTTGGCACCAGTGGGGGGCTGCTGCTTCTCTAGCCTGCTCAGTGATCCCCTCCGAGCGCTCACGCTGCACCTGGCCAGGCCTCCACATCCTCAGCACAGAGCTGCAGAATGCCGCCACCAGCTACTCAGAGGGAAAGGTCTTGGCTTCCCTCTTCTCCCAGAAGAGCCACCCATTCCGCCTAGGCCCTCCAGTCAGGCATGGGGCAAAGGGGAGGAGTGTCCACGTTTGCTTATGTCTGGGAACTAAGAACAGGTTGGTCACCAAGTTGGCGTCACCCTGGGGGCCCAGCAGCCCCATCCTGTTTCTGGGACCTGTGAGTCAAAGAAAGGGCCCCTGTCCCAGGGGACTGGCAGGTGGTAATTAGGCCGAGTTGGGTGGGGAGGCTCGGAAACCACTGCTCTCCTTGGGGCAGCCGCTGGGAGCTGGAGTGTTTATTTGATTTCTGACTTGCTAAGCCTGTAATTTACCTGCGGGAACAGAGTCCAGCTGCCCAAACTGTGTCATTAAGAGCAGGTCTCGGGCCCATCCCCATCTAGAGACACACCCAGCGGAGGTGGACCCACCCAGGTGCCCAGGGATGCACTCGCTGGGGTTCATGCTCTGCACCCCTGAATGTGCCTCAGGGAGGCTAGGACTAGCGACCAGAGTGAGGCTGGAGGGAGTGAGATGGGGGCCATGCTGCAGGCCGGCAGCCTCTCCCCTTGGGCCTGGGAAGGTTTCCTGTGTGAGATCGGAGGAGGGAACCCCTCCATGTGTACAAAGAATGGGCCCAGAGTATCTGCAAGATGGTGAGTTCACCAAGAGCTTCAGGCTTCTGGGGCTGGAGAGAAGGTTCAGGAGTTAGGAGCACTGGCGGCTCTTCCAGAGGACCAGGGTTTGATTCCCGGCACCCACAAGGCAGCTCACAACTGTCTGTAATTCCAGTTCTAGAGGACCCGATGCCCTCTTCTGGCTTCCGGTAACTCTGCATGCATGTGGTGAACAGACATACATGCAGGCAAAACACTCATATACATAAAAGTAAATAAATCTTTTAAAAAGAACAAAAGAGCTTTGGATTTCAAAGAAAAGCTGGCTGGGATTGCACAAGGCCTCCGCCTGAACATCAGTACACTGACTTAGTGTCTGGACAAATGACCTTTCTACCCAAGCTTAAATCTCCCATCTGTAACACAAAGCCGGCTTTCTGTTATTGTAACAAAACGCCAGAGACAATCAATTGGAGGCCGGAAAAGGTTTCTCTTGACTCATAGCTTCAGAGGTCTGTGGTTAGCTCACCCCACTGCTTTTGGCTGGTGGTGAGACAACTGACTGTGGCAGAGAGCAAGAAGGGACAAAACCACTCATCTCAGGGAGGACAGGAAGCTGAAGAAAGGAAAAAGTAAATTGAGCCCCAGACTCTCCTACAATGACACAAGCCCCGTGACCAGAGAAACCTCCTCAGCCGTAGCTGCCACCAGCTCCTGAGCCTGGGACTAAGCCTTGAGTCCATAGGCTGCTGGGGACATCATTTCTTGCCAGAGGACCTGTCTACCTCCCTGGCCATCCTCTCAAAAGTTTGGCCATGGGACTCACAATCTTAACTGACAAGAATTCCCCTGAACCAAAGCAGGAAGTGGAGGCATCAGTGTTGATCTCATCGGTGCCAGCATCTAGCCTGGCTTGGTCAGGGGCACCTGAGTATGTGAAATGTTTGGAAAATGCAACCTCTGTACTGTCACAAGGCAGAGCAGGAGCACAGGGCCACTGTGATTTCCTCCCACAGCAAAGCAAAGGCCTGGTAGTCACAGCCTCCAGTGCTCGGACATCTGACACCATTAGCCAAGCAGGCAGTCATGGGTGACTCGGTCTTAGAGAAGATAGATAAATACATACATAGCATAGCTAACCTGGGATCAGCGCTATCACAAAGACCATCTGGCTTAATGGTGCCCTCTGACCGCCCCAGGTATACATCAGAAGCAAAACTGACCTTCACTGGAGGCCCCTAAGGGCAATGAGAAAACACCACCACAGGACATAAAGGCAGGACTGACTGTCGGGGACAGACCCTCATGACATCTTCATGGCTGCAGCCCAGCACATCTGGATGCCAGCTGGGTACAGTGCCTTTCCCGTGTCCAGCTGCAGGAAAGTAGGAGATGCACTGTGGAGAAACTCCCTACAGTTTACAGGAAGAGAGGCCGGGGGAACGGGTTTGGAGTGAAGCAGAACAGAGCTACCACCAAGTCCTGGCTCTGGCTGTCTCTGTACTCTGCCCCTGCCTGGTCCTCAGTGCTAACACGGGCCCACTGGGTACTGGGTTAGACCTGCCCTTCTGAGCCCCCTCACCCAAGGCTCAGATGTGCCCACAGAGCCCGCAGCACCCGCCACCTGTACAGGTGTGTATAGATGGTCTCAGTCTCTCTCTCCCTCTCTCCCTCCCTCCCTCCCTCCCTCCCTTTCTACCCACACTCTCCATTTTATGAGACAGGGTTTCTCTGTGTATCCCTGACTATTCTGGAACTCACTCGGTAGCCCAGGCTGACCTGAAACTCACAGATATCTGCCTGCCTCTGCTCCCTAGTGCTAGGGTTAAAGGTGTACGCCACCACCACCTGACTGATAATATCTTGTTTTAAATGGACTTGGCAGCATGGCCCAGGCCAGCCTTCCTAGCAATGCCATCTTCCCCACAGAATGTCCTCCTGCTGTTGCTGTATTGACAACAAAATCATGCTTACCCCAAAACATCTCAGAGTGAGGGGTGACCCTGAACTGTGACCACCTGTGAGACAGACCAAGCTGGAGCACTGGGGTCTCTGGGGTGAAGAGATGCCAGGTGTGGCCCTTCTGTGTCCTGATAGCAGCCACATGCCCACTGTGTCCTCGTGGGTGAAGGGACTTGAGAGGTTTGCTTCTTACTAGGAGAGAAAACCTAAGCAGACATCTGGCCTTTAAAAAAAAATTCTTCTTTACTTAGGAAACTTATGTATATACTGGGGGATGTTTTTAAAATTAATTTTAAATTTAAATCTTAAAGGATAGACTCCAGATCCTATAATTGCACCGTCTGGATAACCAGGGTTAATAATCCCCCCAGTCTCTTCTGTGCACACACACGTCTGCACAGCATTTGTGGGTAACCTACAAAGTCAGAGGGGCGCTCTACACTGCCGGCGAACTGATTTATCCAATGAAGGGTGCGCTTTGAAATTTTATGATATTAAATATTTTAAAAAACAAATCTGAACAGCTGTCTATGCCTTGACCCCTGCTTCCTCCCTACAGGACAGGCTCCTCGGCAGGCAGCAGATGCCCTGGGCTCACTGGACGTTATCTCAAGGTCGGCCCACAGCCTGGATGGTGGTGTCTCATGTCTCCAGCACTGGGGAGGCAGAAGCAGGCAAATCTCTATGCGTTTAAGGTCAGCCTGGTTTACAGAGTAAGTTCCAGGACAGTCAAGGCTACACAAAGAAACCCTGTCTCAAAAATCCCAAAACAAAAAACAAAACAAAACAAAAAGACAGGAGTCGGGTCCTGCTGGGCTCTCAAGTCAATGACCGCGGCTCAAGTCAACCTCGTGGGAAAACCCAGCCTGCGAACAGGCAACGGGTCTGGAGCTACCAAGGCTAAGGCAGCAGGCTTCTTCTCCCCTCCAGGTTTATCCTCACTGTGACCCCAAATGAGAACACATCCAGAGAGCAATAGCGCCACCCACAGGTTCTTGATTTCAAAACAGACACTGGAGCAGGTGGCAGCTAGTGGGGGTGAGGCTTCCTGGTGACTGGTGGGGCTCAGCCTCTACATTAGAGATGCCATAGGGGCATGACTAGCCAAAACCAGGTGTAGAAAGTGAGGCCAGCCTACTGCCGTTTCCAGGCAGGACTTGAGAGAGGGGGCGTGAAAACAAATCTGGCTTGTGTGTGTGAGACCAGTTCCAAATGGAACTTGGCTGCCCCATGGGAGAAAAATTCTGGCTTGGCGTCAGTACGTGAACGAGGAGAGGCCACATTGTGAGACTGACTACAGACAGCCATTAGACACGGTACCAGTGCATGTGAGAGCGGAAACAGGCCTGGTCAACCTGGTCCCTGCCAGGTACCAGCAGGAGAGCAGAGAAGCACTTCTGCCCAGTTTGATCTCATCTTTTCCTGCACTGAGCACGTGTGGATGTCTCTCCAAGGTCTCAGCCTCAGAGGAACAGCAGCAAGGTTAGGTCTATCCCAGCTGCCACCTCTGGGTACCAGCTGGAGGTTTTTGTTTTTGTTTGTATCTAAAACAAACAACAATGACAAACACTGCTCAGGAGCCACAGATGGCCCAAGACATGTTGGGGCACTCCACGCCTGGGAGAGCCAGTGGCTAGGTACAACCACTCATGGTAAGGAGGGAGACACTTGGACTGGCTCCCAGGCCCCAGCTACACCTGAGAAAGTGCCCAGAGCATGACAGGCCAGGCTGTACTTGTACTTTGGAGGAAGTGTTCCGGAGGAAGCCGAAAGGGTCAGGCCCGTGCTGACTTGCTTCCTGGGATACCCCCAGCATCAGCGCTCACAAGGCGACCCCCTCCACCCCAAAATCACAGAACCAAATGCAGAGAAGAGAAAGCACAGCCTCCTCGCCTGTGCTCACTCCAGGCCGCAGTGACCACCGCTTCGGCTTCTTAGCCTCTGGGCCTTGGCAGGCAGAGCTGAGGAGTCAGGGGTCAAAGAGAAGGAAAGCATGAGAGGCCGAGAGGCTCAGGGACCCCCATCTGCACCCAGAACCTGACCACAGAGAGCTCTCTCCAGACTGTGCGCAAGGCTTTCAGCCAGGACGGGCAGGGTGACCTAACTCGACCTACTTCAAGACAGTGGGGCCTTTGGACAGCCCCAAACACCCGAGCTCACCACCCAGATGGTCTGCTTTGCACAGATCAGGAAGAACTGGAAACTGGTGTTTGGGCCTAGCTGAGCTCGGAGAGGCTTGTGAGGAACAAGCATGGTTTCCCTGCACCCTGCTCCCAGTCCTTAAAGCCTGTCTGCACATGTCGGCAGCCCTCTACAGGCTGACCCTCGCTCTGGGATGCATTGGCCTCACAGATGGGGCGCCTGGCTTTTCCTCACCAGTGAAACAGGCTAAGGAAAGATGTTTTGATCTTTTAACACTGCTTTCTCTTCTCATTTATTCAGCAAATACGAGCTACCTACGTGGTAATGGGACTCCTGTGGAGCTAGGCCCCAGCCATGGGGAGACTCATTCCCTAGTGGGGAAGAGCCCCCAAAAGATGACCGTAGAGAGCCTGCGGTAAAGTGCTCGCCGTCACGTGGGGAGTGGAGTTTGGATCCCCATAAAGTCGGACACATGCCTGTAACCTCAGCACTGAGGGCGGGGGCGGAGATGGGCCGCTCTGAGAGCTTGCTAGCCAGCTGGCCTCGCTGAATTGGGGAGCTTCTGTTTCGGTGGGAGTCGCTGCCCAGGAAGACACCAAACATCCTTCTCCACCCTGCGAAGCTTGAAGATCAGCTGCACAAGACCATTCTCAGTGAATAGCGAGTTCGAAGGCAGCCAGGGCTACATGAGATTGCCTCAAAAACAAAAACAAGGGGAATTTAAAATGTAGAGGTCGGGCAAGGCAGCTCAGAGGCTAAAGCACTTGCTGAGTGTGGTAACATGAATTCTGTCCCTGGCACCCAAATAAAGGTGGCAGGAAAGGACCGACTCCACTTGGCTGTCACATAGGCATCATGTCGTGTGCCCCACATGGCACACACAATAATTGCAAGTAAATATATTTTTAGTTTTTGGTTTTTCGATACACAGTTTCTCTGTGTAGTTCTGACTGTCTTGGAACTCACTCTCTGGACCAGGTTGGCCCCAAACTCAGAGATGCACCTGCTTCTGCCTTCTGAGTGTTGGGATTAAAGGCCTGGCTAT